CCCCTTTAATGTCAGCAACTAAACTGTGGGTGTTTCATCCCATCTACTGTCAGCAACTCACCTGTGGGTGTTTCATCCCATCTGCTGCCAGAAACCCACCTGAGGTATTTCAGCCCATTTAATGTCAGTAACTCACCTGAGGGTGTTTCAGCCCATCTACTGTCAGAAACGCACCTGTGGGTGTTTCAACCCATCTACTATAAACTCACCTGTGGGTGTTTCAGCCCATCTAATGTCAGCAACTCACCTGTGGGTGTTTCAACCCATCTACTGTTAACCCTGCTGTTTTAGCCAATCCACTGCTAACCCTCCTGTAGGTGTTCAAGCCTATCTAATATCAGCAACTCGCATGTGGGTATTTCAACCCATACACTGTCAACTCACCTGTGTGTTTTAACCCATCCAATTTTAACCCAGCTGTGAGTGTTTTAGCCCATCTTCTGTGAGCAACTCACCTGTGGGTGTTTCAACACATCCACCCAGCTGTTTCAACCCATCCAATGTTAACCCAGCTGTGGGTGTTTTAGCCTATCTACTATAAACCCACCTGTGGGTGTTTCATCCCATCTACTGCCAGAAACCCACCTGAGGTATTTCAGCCCATTTAATGTCAGCAACTCACCTGTGGGTGTTTCAGTCCATCTACTGTCAGAAATGCACCTGTGGGTGTTTTAACCCATCTACTATAAACTCACCTGTGGGTGTTTCATCCCATCTACTGTTAGAAACCCACCTGTGGTATTTCAACCCATTCAATGCCAGCAACTCACCTGTGGGTGTTTCAGCCCATCTATTGTCAGCAACTCACAAGTGGGTATTTCAATCCATCTACTGTAAACTCACCTGTGGGTGTTTCAACACATTCACTGTCAACCCAGCTGTGGGTGTTTCAGCCCATCTCCTGCAAGCAACCCAACTGTGAATGTTTCAGCCCATCTACTGTCAGCAACCCACCTGAGACATTTCAGTCCATTCAATGTCAGCATCTCACCTGTGGGTGTTTCAACCCATCTACTATAAACTCACCTGTGGGTGTTTCAACCCATCTACTGTCAATTGATTCTCACATAGAGTCAATGCCTTTTTATATGCCTGCTCTGCTTCAGCAAACCTCTTCTGTGACAATAAATAATATGCATATGAATTCCAGCACAGTCCTAATAAAGAGAGTGTATTCTTATCAATATCATCTTCAGGCATCTCAGATATCTTCACAGTTGTTGTCTCTATACACCATGTATACCCAGCACTGGCTTCTACATGCCTGCAAGAAATGATTATAGGAATTTGAACTGATGGTGCAGTGATGTTTACCCTTTAGTATAGACATGCAGAGAAACAAGAACTTGCATTACATTACCTCACACTGCCCTACTTTTTAATACTACATAAAATACTGGGTATGGGGATCTAGCAGTGAATGCATTTTTCTTATCATGCCCAGCCATGTTTGATTATATTTGGAGAAATTCATCCCAGTTTTATTATTTGCAGCGTGTACTTGATAAAGTAGTTACAGTCAGTCAGTAATCCTTAGATGATAACAATGTTTGCTGTGGGATTGCATTCTCACCCGCCAAAGTACTTAGCAGGAATTAATTTTTGCTTTTTTGGGGGGTTGTTTATTTTCACTGATTTTTAACGAGTTGAAATACAGCAAAAAAAGTATATTCGCTGGATTTTATTTTCACTGAATCATTCGTTCGGCGAAAACAGCAAAAATAAAGTATTTTACAGTATTTCTTTTGTTACACTCCTAATACACTGACAAGGCCTGTATTTGAAACCTATGATTTAAGGTAGAGATGCAGGTTTGTGGGTACTTGGGTGTGAATTTTTTTCTTTTTTGCATTTTATTATCCAAACAGTCTTGGCTATAGACTGTTAAAATTTTGTAGAATTGTGAATAGTGGAACATACTCAAAAAACGATTTTAAAATATAGATAACAGGTGCAAACATTCTCTCTTTTGAATGCTTAGCAAGATTTAGCAAGGCTGTACATAAATAATAAAAAAGAAACATGGTGTAAAAAAGAAATGATGGGATCTCCAATACTATGCACTATATTTAACTTTTTACAAAATGATAATACATTTAAATTTGGAATTGTTACAGCCATTTTAATTATGAGCATTAGCAAACTTCTTATTGAGTGAACTGTTATGCAAATTAGCAATTATCTCAGCTTCTTTTTAGTGCACATCCCAGAACTTTAAAAAAAAATAGCTCCTAGACGCTTTGACCTTTTGTTTTGAAATTTTCACAAATGATTGACAATGTGTTTATCTTCAAAACGCCGTCGGGGCATTGTTTTTGGTTGAACAGTGTTACAACAATCGTACAGACAACTAACCTGGGTGTTAATTTATGCATAAACTTGAAGTAGTGAAATTTGAGCTGCTGCCCTGCAAAATTGACAACTGGTAGACAGTTTTCAAGACGGCACTTTCTTCATAGTAAACAAATGTACCCTTAAACCAATTTTGACAGGAAACAGAAGCATGGTTTAGGAGCTAATTTTTTTTACATCACTTTTGACCAAAAAAGCACATTTTTGTGCATATTTCAAACTACAGTGTACATAACAAAGAAATACTAACAAAATTATACAATTCATACAATAAGCTTTCCCAAAATATATAGTTTTGTGGACAAGGGAGGTCATCTTGGTTTCCTAATTAACTAATTAAAATACCTGTCTGGTAAACTGCATCTCTACCTTAAATATTCATGAGTGAACATCATGAAAGCAAATGACCAATCCGTGCTGTCATGGATGTCTGCTTCTACAAGTAAATTGATTGGCGCCCTGTAATTGGTTAGGAGACATGCTGATTGGTGCATTTGCAAGCTACTGAATACTACAATGCAAAGGGGCAAAGTTTTACTGTGATCGTGAATTCAGGAAAATTAAATCATATTCAATAAAACGTTTGCAGATGATTTCACGAGATGAGAGAAATGAGAAGTGTATCAACAAAATTGAAAACATGTTTGAATTCATTCTTTATACAAACATAACTTGGTTTGAATACAGCTTTAGCTGCCTGCCAATAGACATGTTTTGAATTCCACCGTTACCTTAGAAATTTGCACACTCTGGTGTAAAATGTTCTAATTTCATCTGCGTAGAGAGTAGATTTTGCTATGTAAATATTCAATAGCTTATCAGAATGCCAGGAACCAAGGAAATCCATTGAATAAATTATGCAAGCTAGAAATCAATCCCCCATTCTCGCCATGGAAACAGACTGATGTCGCTATAACTTGGAATTCATCTCATTATATTGACCTTTTAATTGTCTTTAAAAAAAAATCTATTTTGGAATAAAATATACTTTCATATACTGTAAAAGGATTAATTATACACTGGGTTTTAATTTTGCTTATTTCTCTTACTGGAAAATGCACTAAATAAAACCCAGTGAATATGTAAAATTTAGCATAGAACATATTATCTAAATGATAAAACTGTGAATTTAAAACCCACTGAATATGCCTGAAATGGTAAATCAGCGAAATTTAAACCCAGTTAAAATTAGTCATTTTACAGTAATTGTTCCTAATTTGAATATCATTAATATTTTGAGTTGTTATATGTTCTTTAGTGTCATCCTATTTAAATTGCATGCTGGGATATGTCACGAAATATGTGCTCATTGTACTTTTCATTGCCAAAATGAAAAGCTTTGATACATATACAAACATTGTTTTTATTGTCCCCATAATTTAGAAATGAATTCAGAATTTCACCACCCATTGTTTCTGCGACAATTGCTAAACAAGATTTCACTTGACATACAAATCTCATTGAAAATATTATATTTGAAGGCACTCTGACTATCAACAATCAGACCAAGTTCAATGAAGATTTACCTCTTAAGATGTGCGTATATCTGAGATAATTTGAGTGATATCTCAATAACAGCGTTATCATCTTTGGAAGTGCCTGTTGATAATAAACCTTTCAAACATTCTTTAAACAACACTTCGGCTTTCTTATAATGACCTCGCTTCATTTCTAAATTAGCCATCTGAAAATAAAGCGTTAAATATGTTTATATCTTTCTTGTGAACCACAGAAGTTATTTCTGTACCTGACAAAAGATTTGTTGGAAACTGCCACAAGAGGGCAGTATAGACGATGACCTCTTTAATAAGTGAGCCACTAGTACATATACTGACTGTTCAAGAAATATTGACAAACGTTTTATAATTAGTTTCATAATCTGTTGTAAGTCTTTTTATTTCAAGTCAACCATTGACTTACCTGATCATATACATAAATGATACCATCCATGTTTTGTTGTGTTTGTGACATTGATAATGCTTGATGATACAGCTGTTCGGCTTCACCTGGATGTCCATTTTTGTCGGCTATCTACACAATGAAATCATATAAAAACAAGTCATTGTCAATGACACGTCCCCGTTCCGTTCATATTTGAGTGACATATACATTCAAAGCAGATCATGACCGAAATGCACCTGCATATGTACAACACATTGTGCTAAATCTGAACAAAATCCATCCATGCATGACTGAGATCCGGTTCTGGAATTGTGAAAATACGTGATTTTGATGCATTTTCGGCCTTAAAATGGCCATCATTTCGCTATTGTTAAGCAGATCATGAAACAAAGGCACATATCTATTTGTGACATGATGTACCATGTGTGTGTGAAGTTTGAACTTGATCAATCCAGACATGTCTT